TCAAAGTTGTTTCTTATATCGAGATCTTTGTGATTCAAAGATGGCAGGATATTTTCTCGCTTAACATTGAACCAGTGCGTTCGAAAATGTTTAGCATCAAGCAAAACTCCATCGAATGATCTACATAACACCTCAAGCACCCGTACACCATCTTTGTTCTCCATCATATGAGTAACTAAATAATGAATGAATAAATCTCAACTTAATTCCATAGTCATTACAACAAACACCTGATTCAGGTTCAATATGTTCCTCGCAGTCATGAAAGCAGAGATCTTTATAAATCCATTCTACTACGCACAGTAGCATGTGAAAGCAGGTCAGTAGGTCTTCACAAGGTAAAGATTCTGCAGTATAATATAGAGCATTATGATAGCGTCATCATTAGAATGAAACTTCCTACTTTTCATGATTATAATGATTAGCCAAACAAATGTGAATAAGCTATTGGAATCGAATGACTGGCTTGCACTTGATGGAACATATCGAAAGAGACTGCGAAAGATAGGCACAAGCTTCTTGTAGATCACAACCGTAACAGCAAGGGAGGACTGAAAGAGGGAAGTTTTGAAAAAGAAAGATAATTATGATTCTCAAAAGGATACTTAGAAACTTGAAGCATTCAGGATATACAACTGAAACTCAGGATATACAGCTGTTCATTGAAGTTGGCCACTTCGGTTTACTTGCGAAAACTCAACCTTACACATAAAAATGAAATCAACAGTTTACATAGTTTACACATTTGATAAGGATTTTTGGCATGGAAAAGATCAAAGTGAAGATTAATGTGGAGCGAGTGCCTAAGAAGGAATTTTGCAGAGGCAACAATGCAGAAATGACAGCTGTGGTGTGAATCTTCACTAAATTTTTGGTGGGATTTGTTATTGACAGATTTTACGAATGTTTTGATTTCAAAAAAAGGTTGTAATTAACTTATAGAGAAGGAAAAAAAGCACTTAAAACAAGTAAGGTAAAGTTCAAACATACTTGGATTTTGAATGAATGCTCTTGAATCTTTTTTGATGAGG